TTCCCCCCTCCCTCCTTGGGTGAAATTTTTTTTAAAGCATTTGCCCACACAAAGCTTTGTCCAAAAATATTCATGGAAGCTTTCTTTTTAATAACTACCAGTAAACACTGGAAACAACTTAATGTACATCAACAAATAAATGGCTTAGAAAATAAATGATGTTCTATCCATATAATAGAATACAGATTAGTTATGCTCAGGGAAGGAAGCCAAACAGAAAGAGTATATACATTGTATGATTCCATTTATTAAAAATTTCATAAAATGCTAACTATAGAAATTTTATGTTAATTATATCTCAATAAAGCTATTAAAAACATTAGCTGCACCTAATGGGGTTTAAACTATGAAAAGTTGGATGTGCTGAATAAAGTCTACACTAAACAGAATGAATACATCAAGAAAGTCCTGCAGGTGAAAGCTCAGCATGGTGGTAGAAAAAGCAATAACTATATTTTAATTTTGTATTGCTCAGTGGAAATATTACTCAAATATCATACATCTCACAGGCTTTACAAGTGCCTATGATGACTTACCTGTCTGTGGTCTTATTTCCTACCTCTCTTTGCTATCCCACCCCACTCATTCTGCTCTTTTTTCTCAACTTTGAGCTCAGAGTCTCCTTTCTAAGTCAAGTTCTTGGTATTCAAGCCTCCCTCCTTGGATGGCCCTCCTAGATCTGCCCCCAGCACACTCCTTTAACTCACATGTCAATTCATCCATTAAAGAGGTCATACCTAACCACCCTATCTAAAGTACAATCCTACTCCCAAAGAAATTTCTTTCTATCATAATATATCATTATATTCTATTTCCTTATTTAGTACTTTTTTTCAGTCACTACTCTGTCAGTTATACTGGGAACATAGACCTTCTCCTCTTAGTCAGCATTTTATGTCCAGCACCCAGAATTGTGCCTACCATTCCATAGGTTCACAACAAATATCTTTTGAAAGAACACAGGTGTCCTTTTCCTCATCCTAAATAACTTCTGTGTTAAATCTCCAGAGACAACTCCAACAATCTGAATGTCAAAATTCATTAATGAAAAGAGTCTTCGATACCTACATGCTCTTTTTCCAAGTCAACCAGTCAGCCACAGCGCTAAAGCATGTGTTTGCATCCCTCAGACTGTTTGTATGCAAGGTAAGGGTGCTCCAGCTTCCAGCAAAACTCAGTAAAGGATGATCATAATTGCATATTAATCCTTACAACTTTTGGTATGGAGAGAAAATATGGTTTTTTAATTTTGGCTTATTTGGTTTTATTAGACTATTTATTTGGTCTTATTAAATCTTTGATTGGAGATCTCAAAATAAGCTCACAGCCTTGACAGCCTTTTGGCTTGGATATCAGAAGGGAATAAAATTAACATCTGGCCACCAATTCTTTGAGTAAGTGTTTGTAGCAGAGTTAGGTAAGATGCACACCGTGAACTGTGGTGCCCATTCATGCCAAGTTAAAGGTCCACATTGAAGTAGCTACAGCTATGATCTCTTAGGGCCCCTGCAGTTTACAATGTTGGGTAAGGAGAAAACATGTCCAAGCTCTCACTCTACGCTTTTGGGTTATCATTAGTTATTTATGCAAGGGATACCTAAAAGATAGAAAACGATTATTTTTAGAAGAAGAAAAAAGAAATACTAAGATAGACTTTAACAAGCAAAAGTATATCCTCTCCCACTTGCAAGTAAAAGAAAAAGACTTAGTTAAAAGAAAAGAAAGAAGGATTTCATTCGCAGGAATTTTAAAATATGAGAGTGAACAGAGACAATGAAGGAACAGGGCTGACCTCACCAGTGTTTCCATTCCCACAGTTTCCTTCAGCGTTCTTCCAAGGGCCTGCCGACCTGTGTGGATCCTTCTGCTATGAAGTCCTAAAGTGCTGTAACCACAGGTCACGGTCAACTCAGACAGAAGCGTCAGCACTTCTGTACTTTTTCATGAGGAAGAATTTTGAATTTAACAAGCAGAAGTCAATTGTCCGATCCCACTTACAAGTAAGTGCTGCCAGTTTTCATTAGTGCTATTGTTAATGCCATGACTCTGTCTCGGCATTGATAGAAGCCTGCTGACCTCAGGGCAAACAGTGACCAACTCCTCCTCCAGACTCTGCCCTTAAAGGTGCCCATCACATTCAGTTCTGATTCATGGGCAGAGGGCAGCTGAGAAGAAGCCATCAAAGTCCATAACTCCACCTGGACTTGTTCTTGCTTCAGCCAGGGAATAGAGTCATACAGAATACACAAGTCAGGAACCCAGTGCTATCTCTACGATGCCAAATCTCACCAGATTCTAAATGCATACATTTCTTTCTTCAAGGCATCCTAAGATTCTTACAACCTTCCTTAAGTATTTAAGTTTATAAGAAAAGCCCAGGATCGCATGGCCTTTAAAGATTTAAAACAGAGAGATAGCATTCATTGGCTCTAGAGGGAGAAACGAATGGTACATTCAACTAATCTGATGGGTTTCTTTATAACTCCTATTTCTTGGTTACTTTCTTTTGAGGTTTCATTTTTCTTCTCTCTTTCAGCTCATCAAGGCCGTAAGCCAGTTAATAGCTGATGCTGGGATTGGAGGCTCTCGGTTTCAACATTCCCTTGCAATTACCAATAATTTTGCTAATGGAGACAAACAAATGAAAGTAAGAAATGTTTTGTGGGATTTTTAAATAATTAGGAATAAATTTGGTATTTTGTTTATTGAGACATCACTTACATTGTTTGCTTCTTTAAACTGGTAATCAGCTCTTACACTTTCAGAATATAATCTGTTAAGTGGAATTTCCAAGATGTGTGGTTGAATGGTGTGCAACAAGAAAACTTACCACAAAGATCCAGAAATCCAATGGTTCTCTTATAATTCCATTCTTAGCCAAATTTATCTTATCTTTTTTTTTTTTTGCGGGGGGTGGGGGGGGGCGGTACTTTCCAGACTTCTCCTTTAGTTAATATACTGAAAAGTCCAGGTCTAAAGCCTGGCTAAACACAGGAATCAAAATAATATTTTCAGATATCCTCCTCCTACTGCCTCTACTTTCACCTGTCTCCCTACCTGTCAGTTCAACTTTCCTCTGTGTTTATTCCATTTACGGGAGAGCTCTCCCTGGTAGTATTCCTTGAGTGGAAACAGCACCTCATTCCATAGTGCCAATTGAAGTCCCAGTACTGAATCTCCTTCATCCAACCTTGTGTCATATGCCCTTCCCTAAACCAATCAATGTTGCCTGGGAGATCAAATAATGTGATTGGCCAGGCCAGTATCATGTGCCACCCCTGGTGCCTGGGAATAAAGTAGACCCTCTCAAATCACACGCACATGAGCCAGAGAGGAGAGCATTTCAAAGGACAACCAAGATGCTATTACTAAAAGGAGATGGGCTATAAAACCAAAGAGCAGGACCTACACCAATTCTTATCTTCCAATGTATATAACCACAATCACAACATGTATATATGAATGTATAAATATGCATGTATAAAGAATGTACATATTTATGAGCAATAGATAGGAGGCACCAAACTGAGATGACAAACCACAATTAACAGCCTCACTTCTGAATTCTAAGCAGGTTATGACTCAGGCTCTCTCTTTTCCAAAGAACAGCAATTTCCCAGCAGAGGTGAAAGACCTGACTAAACGTATAAGGACTGTTTTAATGGCCACAGCTCAGATGAAGGAGCATGAGAAGGACCCCGAAATGCTGGTGGATCTCCAGTACAGCCTGGCAAACTCCTATGCAAGCACCCCTGAGCTACGGAGGACCTGGTTGGAAAGCATGGCCAAGATTCACGCTCGAAATGGAGACTTGTCCGAGGTGATTGGCAAAGGCTGTCATTCTCCATCAGCATTGTACTTTGATAAAGTTCAATTGGATTTTCATTTACAGCAGGAATATAAAAAGTTATCATATATTTTCACTAATCTAAATATTGCTTAACTATATGTTGTGTGCATTAAATTTGCATGTAGGAATCAAATAAAGACCAGAGTCTGCAGGGAAAACTGTAATTATAGGCTATACAATGAATGCAGAGCTGAATTCTACACACCCGAGGCTGTAAGGGTGTCTGGAAATTAAGAGTTATATAAATTAATGGTCTGTGTTTTAAAACTTTCCTGTAATTGGAGTTGGATGGGGAAGCTTGCCAGCATGGTGAGTAAATTCAGATTAGGGTCAGCTGTCCTCATTTGCAGCTAGTCTGAACTGGTGACATAAGAATTAAGACTCCTGAGATCCAAGTGAGTGAAGAGGGTCCACTGTGTGAAGGTTATAAATCAATAGGACATTTCTATATCAATTTAAATGATGGGTGGATTTATGAGCAGCAATTCACAGCACTCAGATGGCTTCCGGACACCAAATGGGGAAGTTCTGCCTTATTCCCAGAAATATGAACCCTTTGGGAAGAGATAATTTGTCTAGGGTAAGCCTAAAACCCTAACAATGAATGCAAGGGACTCTGGGATAGAAACAAAGACTTGCTTGGTGGCTTTTTGGTGAGGACAAAATGCGAAACTCTATTTCCCTTGGACTGCCGTAAAAATGGAAACGTTCCTCTTATAAAACTTCAAAGGGAAAAGCTAAAGTCATTTGGACCCTTCAACCTGTCAAGTTCTGGTAGGTGTCCAGCAATGTTCAAGGCTTGACCGGATATGTTAGAGAAGAATAGAATGTTGCCCATGTCATCTGGTGGAGGGAGCACACGTGACACATTAGGTCACACTATTTAACCAAGCGAGGCGACCACTTGAAAGGCAACAGATATTCGAGTGAGGACCTATCCTGGAGGTAGAAAAGGTAAGAAGGCAGCATTTGCCTTTCCAGTTTAGATCCAGATGCTAATAGTTTTCACAAGAAAAGAGAACTGTGGAAATATATAAATACATACATACATACATACATACATACATACAGGTGGGCAAAAAATAGGTTTGTAGTTTTGAGTACGCGAAATACAGAGTTTATTCAGCTATTGTAATAATCATAACCTGCATGTCTTTTTCCTTATGAACAACCTCAAACTAGTTTTGCCCACCCCTGTAAATATTAAGAGAGAGAGAAACTTAGATATTAAGGGAGATAAATCTTTGGGAAAATTCTTCAGGCCAGCTCTTCCTGAGAATTACATCAAGAAAGACAATCCCAAGTATGCATTTTATTTTTGATTGTGAATTTTTTTGGAAATGTAATTGATTACCTTTAATTCTCTTACTTAAAAGATTCCTCCACATATTCTGACATGACATTAGTCCTAATTAGACAAATAGTAAAATGGGTGCCGCATCCTCCTCTGACACTGTTTGTGTTTTATTGCAGGCTGCTATGTGCTACATCCATATAGCCGCCCTCATTGCAGAATACCTGAAAAGAAAGGGTAAGATGACAACCTTATGAGGGAGAAAAAGTCCAGAAATCAACATGTTGAAATCCAACTTAAAATAATTTTAGATTTTATTAATCTTGGTTATGTTTTATTAAGCAACATTAATATTCACAGATATTTCTAATTACGTTGTACTTTTAAGTTTTAACTTTCATGCCATTATCATGTTTATTCTGTGTGCAAGGCTAACTGGTCAGCTTCTTGGTTAGGTTAATGATTTATGGTTTTGTAAGCTTGAATTAACCCAAACATGTAGCATTGTCCTAACCTCATCTTGCACTACCATAGGTTACTGGAAAATGGAAAAGATTTGCACACCATCCCTGCTCATGGAGGATATGCACCCCTGCGATAGCAACCCATTACTAACCAGTCCCGGTGGAGGAAGTGAGTGGTCTAACAGCTCCTTTACCCACGAACAGTGCAGAGGACATTAAACTGCGCTTAAGCTTTACTTCAACGAAATTCTTAAATGTATTCCTGGAAGTAAAAACCGTGTCAGAACTACATTACTTATTCTGCAAAATCCCAAAGTTCCTAGCATTCAGAAATTCCATCCATCCAAAATTTATACAGTTTACGTTACCAAAAAGTTTTCAGCAAATATAGCTGCATCTTATCCTATATTATTATGAGTTGTGGCCATATTTTGCTACCAATTTGCTTGCTAGTCTGCCTTTGGGATTTTATTCAGAAACTGATGGATTGTTTAAAATGGCAAGAGAAATCCATTTTCATTTTGAAATATAATAAAATAAGTCCAATAAAGTGGTGCAGAAATGAAAACATGCAAATATAGTGCATATACAGGACTATACTTATAATTGGCATGTTAAATTTCATTTTTAAAAGCATAATTTGGTTCTGACAATTTACAATATGTAATAGTTAACAATATTGATTTCCTTTAAAAATACTTCATCTTTAATGTCTTATAAAATGTTTTTATAATGATAACTAAATAATTACTCTGTAAACTAGTTGACAATGTAGTTAACACATTTAATCTGGTTTCTTTAGCAAAATTGTTCAAATCCAAAGTTTATGAACTGCAATCTATTTTATAACTTAATCTTTAAAAAGCTGTGGTAAACTCAGTGTATTAAAAAACAGGAACAAATCTTTAGGTATAAAGATCAAAATACCCAAACAAAAGGTAAATGACTTTAGTTACAATATTTTGGAAGCTTAATTGGTTCCTCAATCTTTTAAATATGTATATATTTTTTTTAAAAGCTTCAGTGGATTTTGCAAACAAGACATTTAAACCCAGTGACCAAAGTGAACTGTGGACAGTGAGGTCATTTGCTTGGGAACCTTAGAGAAGAGACCAGACCTGGCACCATGGCTCATGCCCACGTGAAAGTCAGGGATCTCCTTCCTCAGTTGCCAACTCCCTGTTGAGCTTTATTTTTATATGCAAGTCACCAAAGTTATCATTGTTTTATTTAACATGCGCTTCCTCCCCATCTAATTTTGTAATCATAATCAGATACTCTACAATTCCATAAAGCCTATGTCAAATTCTAGCTAAAAAACTAAATTGGAGAAACCTGATAAAACTAGGTGTCAGTTTGAGAAGTTGTAGAAGCTTAGATCCCAAAAAGTTGTGTGAACCTTTAATATTCAAAAACTTTTAAATACCCACTTTTAGATCTAAAATAATGTTAGAATATATCATACTCATTGAGAAAATAATGTATTTGTTTAGTAAACTTTAAATTAAGGAAGGTAGTCATTTATGAGGCAGTAGCATCTATAATAACAAAAGCATAATATGCTAATTAGACCAGATGTCCTTCCAGATGACCTTCCAGACGAAGCCACGGTGGGTGGGGGCCAAGATAGAGGCAGCCGCCACGAGGGTTGGGGCCAAGCCCCTTGAATGAATTTCATGCATCGGGCCTCAAATATATATATATATATATATATATATATATATATATATATATATATATATATTTGAAATCCTCAATATACTTTTTGTTGCAATGTTTCTAAGTCAAAGAGGTAGACTATTTCTCATAAAATGTGTGAATAATAAGAATATAAGTAAATATAGGTGACTCCAGGAAATAGAGCTGTAATAATGATCAGCTTCCTGTGAGAAGTATGTCATGACATTTCCTGCTACCATCAGTTCTCATGTATTTTAATGCATGTTTAATTACTGAAGGAATATTATAGAGAAGTAGGAGCATGTAATTTTAATTCAAGGATTCGGTTGCAGTAATTATTATAATTATAATTTTAACAGGTCCTGGGTTGATAACTTAGTTACATAGCCAATGAACTGATTATTAAAATGAAAACACCCACAGGAGCATCAGCTGTAACTTACAAAGCATGTGCTCCATGTGAGGCACAGCACTAGGCTCCATAATGACAAGACCTGAATTAGTTACCAATGACGAGTCTATAATTGGGTGTGTTATTACCTCCCATTTACAAATGAGAAAATCAAGAGCAGTAAAGCAACCTGCCTCAGAGCTCATCGTTAGTTTGTGGTGGCCAGAGATCAAGACTGGTCTGTCACCCCAGGCTGCGCTCCTAACCACTCTATTTCCCACCATTCAGATCTGATCCCTCCTCTATGAACATGACCCATTATCAACTCTCCATATATATCTGCAGAGCGTGACCTTTTTATAATCTTGGTGGCAAAATGCTAACAAAAATTTTAAGGAGGTTTCTAGATAATGCCAAAGAGTAAAAGTTAGTGAGTATTGAGCATTGCCATCCTAATGTGCTGACCATAACAGGTGTTTTCTCAAATATTAATCCTTTCACCCATTTGCTGAGATGGATATTAATGTCTCCAATATAACAAATGGGAGAAACAGTCTCAAAGAGGTTAACTAAACCAGAACATTGGAACTACATCAATCTACAAATCTTGTTTCGGTCCATAATCCCATGCCAGCTTCTTATAGAAAAGGTATCGCCTGCAAATAATACAGAATTACAAAAGACTGGCATTGGTTGCCTGGCAGAGAGTATTTACCAACAGTCATGGTCCAACCATCTCGCTGACTGTGAGCTTTACACTACCACTTGGAACATCATGAAGCAAGGCATTGTCTAATCCAAGCAATACTTGACTCAAATAATGTTACATTTCTCTTGGTCCTCTCCAGGCATGTTCTCTATGGGCTGGCCAGCTTTTCTGAGCATTACCCCAAATATTAAAGAAGAAGGAGCAATGAAAGAAGATTCGGGAATGCAAGACACACCATACAATGAGGTTAGACCAAAGTAATCCAATGTATAGTAAATGAGTAAAAAAGATGCATTGAATTGTAATATAAAGCTAAATCGTGGGGAGAAAGCCTTATCAGAAATCAAATAAAGTTACTCTATAATATGACTGAAGCAAAATGAAATGCAGGCTAAAATTAAGCTGAGGTTAATCAATATCAGACTTCATTGAGAAAGCGTCATTTTCAATGAAAATTTAAACTAAACTTCACTTCTCTAAGATGGACCCAATATATATGATCAGCTCAAATCTCTGGTCCTTTGGTAAATGTGGTAAAGGATGTTGAAATTTTTGTGAGCTGGTCATAACTTTTTAAAAATACATTAGAAATTTTATTTGCAAAAATATTTGAAGAGAGGGGCTCACTAATTTCTGCAGGAAACCTTCTGGTATGCAAACCATGGGTTGTTTTATTTTCACTAATAAAAAGTCTTCCTACTGGGAATAACCTAGAAACAATTCTGGTGAAGAAACTAGAGCTCCCCTCATCAAGTAAGTAAAATATTACACAAGTTAATTTTTAAAATCCTATTACATAGATTGAAAGTAAGAATACAGAAAGCAAATTTTGGGATGGATCTAATGAAATTTTACATGTAGTTCTACATAAATTTAATGTACATTGCAAGTAAACAGTGAATGCAACTACATATTTTTATTACCTGTTTCAAATAACATTTAAAAATATTTTCTTAAAAGACATTGTTAGAAACATTCCAGTAATATCACCCACCTGCTTTAGAGAATATATAATTGGATTCAGTTGAACATTCATTAAACCACTAATATATGTTGAAGCATTGAATTAAAGGTGGGAGACAGATAAATCAGGCATAATTCCTGCTCTCAAAGATTTTAGAACCTTGAGAAAGACAAACTTCCTTCAGGTGGGTAGTATCCAGTCTGAGACCCATTAACTATAACTCCAGGCATCATATGCAGCTATAATTAAAAGGGAACATTTTTTTATGTGAATGTGGTTGGGATGGAGATAGATGGGACATAAATAAAAGTTCTCTAAACAACATAGACTGATGAAAAGGGACAGACCCAAAGACTGAGAAACAGCAATCAGGCTATCAATCCCCAGAAGGAAAGTAGGGGAGGGCGGGGGTAAGGGGAAGAGATCAACCGAAGGACTTGTATACATGTCTATAAGCCAAACCAATGGACATGGACAACAGGGGGATGGGAGCATGAGTTTGTGTGGGGGGGGGGAGGTTGGGGGTTAATGGGGGGGATGAGGACACATTTGTAATACCTTAACTAATAATAAAAAAAATTAAATTAAATTAAAAAAAATAAAAAGTTCTCTAGACTTTGGCACTGGGGTCTTGACATTTAATAGGACTTGAAGATGTCAATGAAAAATAACATTCTGATAGGTGTGGCAACAAACAAAACAGGCAAAAGTGGGAAGGTGAGAATGTATCCTAAAAATGGTGTGGTATGGTCTGATATAGCCAACAGGCAAAGTCAGCATTGGGGCGCTGAGAGAGGGGCTCTGCGGCGGAGGCTGGTGCTGGACTCTGGAGCTCTTTGAATGCCGTGATAGAGAAAAGTCAAAATCGGGGCGCTGAGAGAGGGGCTCTGCGGCGGAGGCTGGTGCTGGACTCTGGAGCTCTTTGAATGCCGTGATAGAGAGTTGGGACAGCAGTTCATAGAGTGGGGGTCCCACCAAGGTTCGGGGCAGTGAAGATCTCAGGATCATATTTATGTTTTAGAAGGAAGAATGACTGAAGAGCATCACAGAGGACAAATTGGAGTGGGAAGACAGATTATCTAGAAGACTCTGCAGGGTCTCAGAGTGAGCAGGGGTTCGATGGAAGTTGTGGACAGTGAGAATGGAAAGGACTAGGCAAATCTGAAGGCATTTCTTAAATTTAAATTGGCAAGATTAAGGAATTGATCAGGGGATGCAAGTGAAGGAAAGGGCATAATCCAGATGACATCACCGTCCCTTGCTGGCTAGATGTAAATGCTAATAACAAAAATAGGGAACACAGAGATCCCACCATGAAAAAATTAATAGCAGCAGTTTTGAAATTAAGTTTCAGTGATAAGCTACAGTGGAACTCATAAAAGGTTTTGCTTTGGTTTGAGGAACTACAGCATGTCCTGGTGGAGCAGCTATACATGTGTGTGGAGTTTCTCTGGAAGTCTGAGAGATACGAACTCATCGCTGATGTCAACAAGCCCATCATTGCTGTCTTTGAGAAGCAGAGAGACTTCAAAGTATGTTTTCAAAACCTAGACATTAGTGACAACATCCTACTTTGAATGGGTCAATTGCTTATTATTTTCAAAAGCAGAAACTCCCTATTGTTTATGTGGGCACCATCGCTTGAGACCCTTTGATTTATGGTTTCAGAAATTATCGGATCTTTACTACGACATTCACCGGTCCTATCTGAAAGTTGCGGAGGTGGTGAATTCAGAGAAGCGACTGTTTGGTCGGTACTACCGCGTGGCATTTTATGGGCAGGTAAGTCCCCTAGAGGCAGCATGACCTGTGAATTCTGTTGAGCAGTTGGATGTTGTCCTTTCAGTCTTTATGAGACATCTAACTCCATGCGTCAAAGGATTGAAGGGGTGTGGGTGTGGATGTGTCTAGATTTGTTTGTTTCTCTGAGTGATTCTATATGTTTGTCCATAGGAAGGTACTGGGTAGAGAACTCCATGGCTCTTAATACAGATTGAGTTAAAACAGTGATTTCTAACTTCTTGGAGAAGAAAGGCATTTATTTTTCCGTGTCTTCTTCCCATCTCACCCCAAAATATCTAATTATAGGTTTGCCTCTAAGTCAAATTAAATTCAACATGTTTTAAGAAATGAAATTCATAGCTTTCTAAAAAATAAATAATTTCTAGGAGCTCCACCATATCAAAGCCATGAACTTTAGACTTTATAATCATGCATTTTCTTTTCCACTACTTTCAAACTATCACTACTTTTATGCAGAACACTATTGTTTCCTGTATTACAAGTCAATGTAATTCTTAAGTTCCCTTTCTCAGTTGATTACATACACAGTGAACAAGAAGGAAATTATTAGCTAGCCATAGCATTTGCCTGAAAATAAAGTGAATGTATTACATATTAATTCTGAATATCTCTGACTGGTACTTTAAGTGGGATAGACCTAGGAACTATCCTGTTCTTTTCAGGGAGGTTTATACACTCATATTTCAGCAGTCATACTTCAGACTATGACTGTGGATAAACATTCCATTCTTGTTTGTTCACAGGTGGAATGACTCTCAGTTCCTTGTTTCTTTTTTTTTTCTCCCCCTACCATGTAAGGCACTATTGCACATAGCTCTTATTCTCCTCAGAATTGCCTAAGGAGTCACATGCAGCATGGTCATTCTAGATCATTTCTCATTGAAGTCTCTAGAAAAAATAGATATTTTCCTCTAGTCACCAAAGACAGCTTGAAAAATAATTTCTGAATTAGTCCAGATAGCTGCTCTCTACCGGGAAAGGAAAATGTCACTGAGTAACCACTTACCATAAAGAAATTGATCCAGCCCTAGCTGCTTTGGCTCAGTGGATAGAGCATCAGCCTGCAACTGACGGGTCCCGGGTTTGACTCTGGTTAAGGGCACATTTGCGGGTTTGATCCCCAGTAAGGGGCATGCAAGAGGCAGCCAATCAATGATTCTCTTGCATCATTGATGTTTCTCTCTCTCTCTCTCTCTCTCTCTCTCTCTCTCTCTCTCTCTCTCTCTCTCTTTCTCTCTGAAATCAATAAAAATTTTTAAAAATTAAAAGAAATTGATCCAGCTCAGGTTTTCCTACAGCATGGCAGCATCAGAGAAAGCTAGTAGTATGAGGAACAGATGTGGGGAGATGGTCTACAGAAAGAAGCTAAATTTATATATTTGGGGGGTCCCTGGAAAAGAATCTGAACTTTCTGAAGTGATAGAATATGTTGGGGACAGAGAAATGTGGGGATCTGCAGAAGGGGAGGAAAGAGAAGTGGAAGGGATTTCTTGAAAGTGAACAAGAAACAAAAAATAAATATTTTTGACCTTGCTGAAACATTAGCAAAAAAAAATGGCAGAAAACCGCATCAGGAAGGGGATGTGGGAGTTGAGGGCCTGTAGGGGAGACTCTCCAGGGAATGAATGGCAGCACAGCAGGGACACACAGATGCACATCAGCCAGCCTGCATTTGAGTCTACCGTCCTTCAAAGGATCTTTTTAATGACTGCCATTGATATTCTGATCATGAAAACCAGATTGCCTACCTGGTAGTTTCTCCAACCAATGCCTAACATACTGGCTACTGAACAGGTAGAAATGAATTAGGCTGCTTTCCAACCAGATTTTAATGCAGATGTTTACTCTTTTCTTCTTTTGGTATTGACTGTTCCAGGCTGTGGTAAGTTCTCTCTTTCTCACTCCATTTGCATGCTCTAAAAATTCTCACACTTCCTTCTATATGGTTTTACTGAGCCTTAACTTTTTTGTGCCAATCAACATTTGGTACAAAGGTGAGATAATCCTGCTTCCATTCATTTGGGAGTCATCCTGCTTCCTCGAACTAAACTTTGTTTACTCCAGTTATCTGAATTACAAAAATGTATCCTTTATTTTTCATATATAATATCTTCTGCACTACGGTAGGTGTAGTCTGAAAACCTACATACATGCACACACACTCACATAGATAAATATGTGAACCACATATGGATAGTAGACTCAGTATTGGGTATTGCCTGCTCACTTCAGGCCACTGTGTTCTGGCTGATGAAGAAGAGCATGGGGGTGCTAGAATTTCAAAACTTGGAGTGGTGGCCATTGATGGGCACCTTCCCAGGTTCCTAAAAGAGCCTGCCATTTTCCAAATGAGTATTGTGGAGTAACAGTGTTCTCTATTGTGCTGGCTCTGAGTATTCTGAAAGGTAATAGTATTAATTCCCAACACAGAAAATGAACAATAGACTAAATCTTTACCCAGGAGGTCAGGTTAAATCTCCTGAGATGCGGAAAGCAGCAATGTAAGAAATGTGGAGGACAAGCAGAGACAGAAATAACATGCCAGTACCTAGAGCTCTGTGACATAGAATTTTCTTTGCATCCTTTTGAACCATATGAAATTGCCCATATTCAAGCATACTTTCCTGGGGAAAAGATGGCAACTTCATGTGGTTCAACATAATTATTATTGATTAAAGTAGAAAGACAGATTCTTGCAATATCCACATGTTGTCCACATTCAACTGTGCTTGTCTGGTACATACTTTTTTGTAATTCTTTAAGTCCCTTCCCACATCCATACCACATCAGTATTTTCCACCTTCACTTATAAATTTGGGGTCATGGGTCCTTAACTCACCTACTAAAAGAATACTTGAAAATCCCTATACTAAATAGACTGAGGGGGCAACGGGGAAGGATTGGGGAGAGCTATTTTAAAATGACTTAACTTTGTTCTTTTTGCAGATTCCTCTATAAAGTGTGCTGATTGTGCACCTGGCTATTTCTTTTTAATGTTGCCAGTCTTCTCAATTATCTTTTGTTAAAAATTCCAATTTGAGATTTTATTAAAGGACAAAATGGTCTGTGAATCTGCAGACCTGAGTATGCCCCTAAGCGGATCCTCTATAAGTTCAAACCCCAGCCACCCCTGACCAGGGGAGACTAATGGAGGTCGTCCTGATAAGCAGCAATGTAGAGCCTTGGTCATCATTGTTCAAATGATGTTCAGATGCCTGCCCCAAGAACCCAAATGGAGATGGGAACTAATCATTGGACAAGAGCGGACAGTGCACTTCACTTCACATTTGATGATAAGGAAATACTAAATAGGCTTGGACAGTTGCCCCAAACATGTGCAGAATGAAGGTTCCGAAGATCTAAGATAAAGTCCTGACTACTTGATTAGCATAATCCCCATGGTCAACAATAATTCCTTTTTTATGATAGTACTTTGTGTCTGTGTAAAATTCACCTTTTAATATCCAGATAGACATGTCTTGTAATCATGTTTCAAAAATTATGCAAATAGCATATGCAGTAGACCCGTTGCCTCCACAAAGGCCTTTGGATAAATCTTTTAGGGTCCCAGCTAGACTGATAATTGCATTTTACAGTACTGGCTAGAGTAGTTAATATGATGTCTGCAATAAGCCAGACACGACAAAACAAGTAGAAACTTTTAAAACATAAGTCTTGCATAACATGAATTTTCTGATGCAACATCTGATATCAATGCCTATGAAAATTTTACATAGAACAGCCTATAGAAAGCAGCTCCAGAGTGTCCTTGAAATATTCATTTAAAGAATAATGAGCAGCAGTAGTGATCAAACATCAACTGTCATCAATGAAATCTTAGGCTCTAATATTTAGCATGAAAGCAAGCAAGTGCCTATTGCATAACTTAAAACAGCAGATGCCCCTGGAATAAGTTAAGTGAAAGGCCTGAGGAATTTTATTCCATTCACCAAAGGATGTAGATTCCTTGATTCTCAACCATGCTTATGTGGCTGTAGATGCATCTCAGAATCTTGATAGAAAAGGGATTGGGCGAGGAGGTATGGTGCATGTATAGTTGGGGATGTGATACAACCTTCTGGCTCCCCACCCATATGAAAGTCACTGATATAGACAACATATATGTGTAACTGAGTTCATATTTATATGGAACCATCTCTCGGCATTCTTGTAGTTTTTCTTCTCTTAGCATTTAGCCCATTATTAATATTTTCTGACCCATCTTTTACTCACTGATTCCTCTTTCAGTGCATTCCTTTACGACCTTGGAATCAATCATATGTAACATCGGGAGCATTTATATCTGACATCCCAATAGTGATTCTGAAATACCTGCAAAAATATCAAAGGGGTCAATAATTTCAGGTGTCAGTTTATTGAAGTACATTTTTATCATAATCTATTAGAGTTTCATAATCCATGCAAGTAACTCTACTGACTCAAAGTTCTTGTTTAAGTAGAATGTGTGCTGTTTCCTGAGAATAAGACAGACTAGGGTTTTTATTGCATTGCAAAATGACATTTTAAAACATGAAACTAGCAAGAGAAATGCAGAGGTCACATTTCCTGTTGCCTTGAAACACAGTGCACTCATGACCTTGTGGCTAAAACAAAAGAGAAACTGTCCCTGGGTCCTCATCACCTTTTGTCCCTGTTTATAAATCATTTATTTCATAGACAGAGCTGAAATTGAAGCCTTCTTTAAGGTAGTGTCCTACCTTTAAGGTTCAGTGGGTTTGGCTTTGATAGTTTCCTTGGGTAAAAGGTAAGCACGCATTGCCAACATTTTCAGAGCTGCTATTTCTCTGGCTGCAAACGCTCTTACAACCCTGGCAAACAGCAGATGAAATACTTTATTCTGTTATTCCAGCTCCATTTTAGTAGTTTTATAAAATAGTTTCAAGAGGTTTATATATCCATGCTAGGAAGGTAGGTAGATAGATAGACAGACAGACAGACAGACAGATAGATAGATAGATAGATAGATAGATAGATACATTTTAATCACCATTTCTTTCTGATCAGTCCCATAACCAAAATATTGAAATGAGCATCAGTAGACTTTTCTAATAGGAAAGTATAGTTTCTATGTAAGAGAAGCTGAAGGTATGTATTTTAAGTTCTCGAAACTCAGTCAAGCTATTTCCCTGCATATGAATCAGAACTCAAATTGCTTTGCTGACACAAACTTTTTTTTGTTGACATCCTCCTCATCCTCCTCATGATAGGTGACAGTCACCACGGGCCTGTATGTCCCAGGCACTGTCTTTAGGACCTCTCCATAGATTTCTAGGTCTATTTCCCATCCTCCAGACCAAGGGGTAGGGATGAGAGAAAGTCACAGGTCATGACCAAAAAGACAGAGGTCATAGTAATGACAATAAAATCTTGCTTCCCACACTCCTTCTAATTCTAAATTCAGAAAGTTGTGAGGGGCAAGAATTCACAGTGAAAATGTCTCTTTGTGCTGGTTTTCACAGTGTGGTGAGAAAATATTTTCCTGGGACTTGGAAACATTTTTCTCACTGGAATGGAAGTTGTAAATGTTGCTTTAGCTATTGCCCTGGGGGCATTCTAGTTGATGGCCTCAGAAGTCTTACTTCTATGATGTGTCAGTCTGTCAATGTTAGCCACTACTTCTGACCTTAAATAAAACAAAACTCCACAAAGACAGAAAAACAGCAGCTGGAAGTCATGTGGGAATGGGGCCAGACCTCACCATTCCTACAAAGTCTAGGAACAACAGGGAGCTACTTTTCATGCTTTCAACAATCATGCGTCACTTTTTTTTTTTTTTTTTGACAGTTGAGGGTCAAGTTACTCATAATCATCTGTGTTTCGTCTTGAGCATTTCTTAAAGAAATTGTTCAATTAAAAACTGTTCTTTAAAGCAATACAATCTTTTCTATTTATACCTGGTGCACACATACCTTTTTAGGATGTATGCCCACCAGAACTGTTTTATTCTTCAGTTTATTAATTTAACAAATGTAGAATGATGTCCCCCTAAAGACGAGGCACCGTGCTAAACACTACACATACCATGTTGAACAAGACACTTTCCTGACTTTGAAAAGCCCAAAGTCATTTCAGAAAGTGCACAAGGAAACAGACAATTAACTTCGTGCTTGACAGGATCTGTGCTGGCAAATGTGCCTTGTTCCTTGGCTTCTACAAATATATAGTTGTGTCCCTCTTATCATGCAAAGTACCCTGTTCATGATGGTCAAGTGTCCTTCAAGTACAAAGGCGCCACACAGATGTGAGTTTAATTATTATTCTCACCTCACTTTGGCTGTGAAAAGTCCAACATGGGAACATTTCATCCATGTCTTTTATAAAAAAGGAATCTTTTTAAATAGTCAAAAATAAAAGTTTTTTAAAAATACAGCTAAGATTCTTTGTGACCTCCATTGTCTTTAGCTGGCTCTCAACAGCCATAACCTTGAGGTAAATTCTGAGTCAGAAGAAACAGACACACTTGGAATCTTAACTCCAGACTTAACCCAATAGTCGGAGGCCACATGTCCCACAGGAAAAATGCCCTGTGTCTCTTCAAAGGGAAGGAATTATAAAGATTACCTCACTTAGTTATCGCAGATAATGGAATATTCTCTCCCCCTGTTTCCAACCAGACAGATAAATTAATAGAGGCTAAGACCTACTTGCTCCTACGACATAAAAATGATGGCACAATTGGTTGCTTTACTATTTTCTATTCTAAATGGGTCTAGCTTTGCCAAAAAAAAAAAAAAATGAAGATCTACTAGGAAAGCAAATTGAATGATGAAATTGCATATAGCCAAGTTGCATCAGGCCCCAGACTTAATGGAAAGTTATTTTTTTAAATTACAGTACTTGGGAGCCTACCACATGCAATTTCTGTGATTACAATACCAGTGCTGCAGCTCTTTAAGATGATGTGGGTGCATATCCACCCACATAGATACCTTTACGTGCCCCTCAGGTTTTCCTGTGCTAACTTCGAAGACTTTGAGAAGACTTAGTTAAAAATGACACTGCTCTTTGAAAAAATGCCAATTATTCCAGACTCTGTGTTCTACCCCAGGCTGCCACATGAGGGCATCCTTCCCCCAAAATATATGCAGCAGATATTACCATTGATTTCTACAAATAGAGAAAATATTTTAAGATAGCCTATGAGGTTCTTTGGCCTGGTGAGGGAGTGTTTCCATTAATGACTGATTCTAGCATGATATTTTGTTTTCTTCACTTGGCTTTTCTCTGATTTTGACTTTATAGGGTGCTAGTTAGTGGCTTGGATGACAACCAAAAGACTGGATAAACGGCTTTTGTTTTGCTTGTGATGTGCAATTGGAGTTTTCTAATAAATTTGATGGTTTCTTATGTATCTTCCATAGGGTTTTTTTGAAGAAGAAGAAGGTAAAGAGTATATTTATAAAGAGCCTAAGCTGACAGGTCTATCAGAGATTTCCCAAAGACTGCTCAAGCTGTATGCAGATAAATTCGGAGCAGACAATGTGAAGATAATACAGGATTCCAACAAGGTAGAGGAAAATTAATATTCATTTTGGGTGTTTGCCTGTTTGTTTATTGGTTAGTTGACTGGTGATTATTTTTGGCAAAAACATTATGTGTTTATTGAAGTAACCTCTACGTTCCCTATTTTTCCCATCGGTTATTTGCACTTGTATAGCAACCAAAGAATTAAAGTGATTGGGCCCAATGGTGGACTTGGAGGAAAAGCAAAAATGTATTTCTTCAGTCTGGGAGGTCTTCCTGGGTCATACCAATTTTGACATCTATTCTCTGTGATAATAGCAGACTTGCCAGTTACATTTTATTAACCTGTGGATATCTAATTAATCTTCTGGTGGCTCCAGAAGGCCAATGCTTATATCCTCTGGTTATATTATTCAGAATCCTCTAATATGCTTTCATTCCTGGAGCCAACCTCTATTAAGCACCTACTGCATGCTATCCCCAGAACTAGGAGCTGGGGTACAAAGACTCTTTCTCCAAGATTCACATGGAGCTGAGATGAGAACGATGTCTGCAAACAGCTAATTAAATAAAGTGCATTGAAGAGCCATGGCAGACATGGTGCAAGTCACACAGGGAAAGCTCAGGGAAGGGGCTCCCTGACCAGCGCATTCTCTTGTGGGCAGTGCTTCCCAGAAGAGATGATGTGTGAGCTGGAAATTTCAGGGTGAGGAGGTGTTTGCTGCAAGCAAAGGGCATATTGAGCAGCCCAGCACATACAGTGACAGTGGCATGAAAGGGGAAAATGTGTTTCAAGAATGGCAGGTCTTCAAAACACAGGTTGGTAGAAGAGTGTCTCAGAAGGCAGCGCAGGAAAAGCTGGCTTATGTTTCGAAGAGCCTCGGCTACTCAGCCAGCTGGCTCCAATCCTACCTCCACCACAGTCTGGCTGCCTGACCACAGTCCAGGCAGGTACTCTTCTATGGTGATATGATGCCCATTTTTCTCCAAGGGGACAGGGGCAGCCCTCCTCTACCCCACCCCAACCCCCAGGATGCCAGTTGAGAAAACACAGAGCTTCCTGACTTTCTTTCCCAAGTACCTTAGGCTCACCACTCTTTCTTTCACCATCATATGTTCATATAGGTAAACCCGAAGGATTTGGACCCCAAATATGCCTATATCCAGGTGACCTATGTGACACCATTCTTTGAGGAAAAGGAAATAGAGGACCGGAAGACGGATTTTGAAATGCATCACAACATCAACCGCTTTGTGTTTGAGACACCCTTCACGCTGTCGGGCAAGAAGCACGGTGGCGTGGAGGAGCAGTGCAAACGCAGGACCGTCCTGACAAGTAGGTGCAGCCCACCCAGGGGCCATGCAGGCCCTTCACGGGGATGGAGAAGTTAAAATCAGAACATTTCACTCTGGCAGACAAGTGCCCCGAATGTGCCACCATGGACATTTGCCTGGAAGAGTAGATTTCCCCTTCCTTACAATCTGTCAAGAAGGACACCCTTGAGAAGTCACCCAGAAGAGAAATTGTCAGTAGTTACTTTACTAAGCCCTTCCCTGTAGAGCTTAGTCACAAAGGTCATGGTGTCCGTGTCTTGGGAAGGCCACTCTTCTCTCTCCCTGAATCTACCCTCAGTTAATTCAAGATTAGAAGCTCTCAGGATTGTGTACTTTGGAGCAAGATCCTAAGTCGCTCTGGAAGTGTGGTTCCTCATCTGTAAAATGAGTGCAGAGGATGGTCACCATCCCTTCCAGTGCCGTCTAAATCTATTCTGTGAGCTAGTCAACAAACTTTCAGCAAGTGCCTAGTACATGTCGGGTACTCTACTGGCAAGTCAAATAAATAAAACACGAGTCTTGCCCTCAAGATGCTCCCAGTCTGATAGACGAAAGAGCCAAGTAAAGCAAGAATTTCAGGCGAGCACAGCGTGAGCAGTGAAATGGGGGCACAGGAGGGGGACTCCTAAGGTAGACTGAGGGGAAAGATGAGCAAAGACATTCTGGACTAGTGATACCTAAGCTCTGTGAGAGAAGAGCAATCCTGGATTATGCAATAGGCAGGCAAATAGCAGTGACATCCAAACTAGGGGGATGTTCTCCTTCAGTAAACTTTTCCAGAACTTTTCTAATAAAATCTAAAACAAAGCTACTATAACATAGGCCATTCAGTGTTTATTTAAGCATTCTTTATTGTGGCTTAGGGGAGTTTCTATTTGAACTGCAAGTTGTGGTGGAAGCTATAATCTTTTCAGTGTTGAATGACTCAAAATCGAGGTTTTACTCCAGCCCTGAAAATGAGGACATGGCTAGGGAGGTGTGGAAGAGAATGGCAGGCGAAGGTAGCTGGGGCAGAAGCTAAGAGGAGGGAGGGCATGTGGCACACAGGATAAACAATAACTCATATGCACAAAAACAAGCAGGACGAACCAACTGTGTGCAAAAAAAAAAAAAACCCTATGGGGTGGTCTGTACCTTCAGGGGACCCCTGACTCTGTACTCAGCCTCAGCCTTTCCATTCTCTCGTGTTGCTCCTGCACAGCCAGCCACTTGTTTCCCTATGTGAAGAAGAGAATCCAAGTCATAAGCCAGTCAAGCACAGAACTGAATCCTATTGAAGTGGCAATCGACGAGATGTCCAAGAAAGTCTCTGAGCTTAACCAGCTCTGCACAATGGAAGAGGTGGACATGATCCGACTGCAGCTCAAACTCCAAGGAAGTGTCAGCGTGAAGGTGAGGGTTGCCCGGGGCTGAGATGCACGTGGCCCATGGAACCTGGTACAAGACACCTTGGCATTTATTTATTTATTTTTTTACAAAGGGCACCTTTATCTGAGTCTTTAAAATTTTGTTTCATTGTAAATGCGCATAAATGGTGTCAAACACCTAGAGATAAGCCTTTCTTAACTTTAGCTGAAAATAAAGTATCTTCTTCCTTAACCCTCCTTTCCTATCTTCTCTGGATAAGCTATGTTCTATATTCTGAATTCCAACAAATGAATTAATTAACAAATAACGTGTCTCTCTTATAAATATCTGTCACTAAGAGCCTTATAAAACTGTTCAAAAACACATATTTTTAGAATGTATATTAGTTCATAAAATGTGCATCAATATTTATTTGGCTGCCAAGGTCCTGATAGGAAGCAGGTGGCCTGCCCACAGTGGGCGATTAAATGAAATACAATAGATAGACTATTTGCAAGTCTGAGCAGTATTTAAGGAAACTAACAAGGGTAGGCACAAGAGCTGGCAAGACTGAGGGGCTGCTACTCTTCCTAGGCCCAAAAACTGAGGAGAAAGAGGAATCGTTGGAAGCACAGAGAGAGCTGAGAGAGCCTGCTGATGACAGACAAACATACAGATGACTTAGTCCCTGTTAGAGGACTGCCAGGAGGAAGCCTGGTGCTTACTTAATACCCTCCAGGGGCTGAAACCAGGGTGAGGCAAGTGTGGCACTCACCTTGGGCATAAAATTTAGGAGATGCATCAAAAACTCAGTAATCATGATAAAATATTATAATGCAAAATTTTTTAAAATAAAAAATAATGTCAAAAATCCATCATGAACAAAATGCTAACCTTTTTTAAATTTTATTGTTTAAGGTATTACAAATAGTAGTACATATGTCTCTTTTTTTTTCCACTGACCTCTCCCCAGCCTCCTCTACCCCCCTGGCACTTGCCCTTGTCCCCTCGCCCCCAGTGTCTTGCGTCTGTTGGTTGTGCTTATATGCGTGTATACAAGTCCTTCGGTTGATCTCTTACCCCCCCCCCACTACCCTCCCCTACCTTCCCGCTGTAGTTTGACAGTCTGTTCGATGCTTCTTTGCCTCTGTCTATTTTTGTTCAACAGTTTGTAATGTTCTTTATTATCCATAAATGAGTGAGATCACCTTTTAAATAAAGGCAGGCCAGTAACAGTATCACACGGAGCTATATTGGAGCCTGATGCAAAAGGAAAAATCAGTAATGTTGATCCTGATATGGACCTGGCTGTCTTCTTCCCTGCCAACACCTTGTCTGTGTACCCCATGGCTGATTCAAAAATAATTAATAATAATAATAAATTTTTAAAAGCCAGGATGCAGGAGAACCATAGTTATACTCCAAATGGGACAACTTCCCTCAGCACACAGCTGAGCGGAGGAAATTAGAGGTGGGAGCTGGAGAAGCCACAGAAAGCACCCAGTGCCGTGTGCTCCTCCCACCACACTGGCCATGCCGGGTGGCCACAGCCATCTGCAGATGGCTCAAGGACAGCACTAGCTTCCTGCTCTTTCCCCTACTCCTTACAAGCTACACGGTCACTTTAAAACATTATAAGCACTAAGAAATATGGACTCCCTCGCTAGTGTGACCCTACTCTTGCGTGTGAGCATGATCAGGACCTGAGCATGCATTCTGCAAATCTGATAATGCCCCGCTGGGCCAGAATCTAAGCCAGACTGTCCAGTGGAATACCGTAGACTGTAGTTCCCAGGGAGGTGTGCACACCACCGCCTCTGTGGAATGCCTTGTATTAATAGTTGCGTGTTTATTTTAATGCTAATAAAAAAAACTAGCACGTCGGACATTGGATTTCACAGATGTTTAACTTAAATTTGTTTAAGTAAATAAAAGGAATCTAGTTTTCAAACATATTAAGAAAATAATAGTTCGAGAGGGTAAAGGAGGGATAAATGGTGATGGATGACTGGACTTGGGGTGGTAAACATACAACATACAGATGACGTAATAGAGAATTGTAACTCTAAAAGCTAATAATTTTATTAACCAGTGTCACCCCAGTAAATTCAGTAAAAAGTAATAACGGTTAAAGCCGTATTTGATATGGCAAACACGTGAGATGGTGGGCAAGTAACTGAAGCTTGGGAAGGATGGCAGTGGCGTGTGGGGCTCCGATGTGTCCTGTAGTAGCTGGTTGACCAGTTGTGGGGGCCGCCAATGAAACAGATAACAAATTAGCAGACTTCACGGTGATGTGAGAGGACTGGGGTCCCACACGATTGGTGCACAAGTGGCTACTCCTCCCAGCTGCGGAGCGGGCTCCTCCCTGAGGACGTGGGCTCATCCTCAGCAAATTCTCTCCTCCCCGATAGGTTAATGCAGGGCCCATGGCCTATGCACGAGCTTTTCTTGAAGAAACCAAAGCAAAGAAATACCCTGACAACCAAGTAAAGCTTTTGAAGGAAATCTTCCGGTAAGCTCTTCTTTGTGGAATGTTCTTCCTTGGGATCCTTCAGATGAGGAGTCTTGAATTCCCCAGGAAGCCACCTGACCAACCTCCTTCTGGGTGGCAGAGTCTATCAGCAGCCTGGCTTTGAGTGGCCAGTCTCTGTGGCTGGTTGTTAATTTGCTTCTTGCTGTCGTTAAAGGCAATTTGCAGATGCGTGTGGGCAGGCCCTGGATGTGAATGAGCGCCTCATCAAGGAAGACCAGCTGGAGTACCAGGAAGAACTGCGGTCCCATTATAAGGACATGCTCAGCGAACTCTCCGTAATCATGAATGAGCAGGTGAGGCTTTCCTTGGGGTGGCCCATGCTGTTCATTCATCCAAAGTGTCCGTTTTGACCCCAATGCCGGAAAGGGTCTCTTTTCTTGCTACTGATGTCACTGAACCTTACGTGAGCACCATGCTGCTGACTTGTCCCCTCCCCCACGCACAAAGTCCCTTGCCTCAAAGCAGAGATCAGGTGAGAGAAAAAAGTCTGGAGGAAAAAAAGATGAGAACCCATATGCTTTTCATAGTCTTCAGAAATGTTTAATCAAATCATATGAGCTGTTGGTTTTCTAGGACAGATGGGCCCTATTAGACATCAAGAAACATTGGGTAGCATTCCTGGTAGGGTATGCTATCATTCCCTTTACCTCTGATTTTAAGTCCTCTCACCTCCCCAGGCTGTGATGTGGAGTTCCACAGTTCTGCCACTAGGAGTCTCTGCACCATACTTAGGAAGAACACCAGGACTAAGAAAGACATGGCTTTTTAAAGTTAAGATTGCCTCTACAGAGGCAGGGCCTCCTGTAGATGTGCAGAATTGGGATAAAACTCAATCCCCCACCCTACAAGCAAGTCATCCATGACTTCTGGCATCTGTCCAGCATATAAGGCTGTGCACAAAATGTGGACATTCGTTATCACAGTACTTTTTGAGGTGCTGAGAGTCGGCCTTACACTCTACCTGACATCTCATCACTGTGGTCCCTTCCGGGAGTTAGATGTGTTCTTTACAGAATACTTAAGGGGGAGAACTTGAACTAATCTCCAAATAGTGCCTCATGCATAGTAGCCACTCATTAAATATTAGTTCCCTTCCTTTCCTTAAATGGTCTAAAACCATCAACACTACTCAGGAAACACAAAATGAATCCTATACTTCTTTTATTCTAATTGCTTTTCTCATATATGCTTCTTTTTTCTTATTTTTTCTTATTTTCCATTTCCTTTTGCCCACATTTTAAACCCTCTATCAAAGCTGGAGAATGATGTGGTTAATTGACTTATGTTAGAATTAATCTCTCTGGGAAGGATTCTTAGAGGAGGGAGTATTGGTTTGGGATTCTTTAGAAGCTGGTGGGAATTAAATGTTCAGGAGTGATGCTTTGATAGCCTGGGGAACTCATAAATCTGGGAGTGAAACAGAAAGAACAATGGATCTGAAAGTTGAAAAAAAGTAGTGAAGAAATGCTTGCTTCCAACTGTAAATTGCATCTGACCTTGAAACTTTGAGCAAAAATGCTTTTCTCTTTTTTCCCTGGCAGCTCTGTTGCAGTCCATGTTTATACAACTTCTGTTCCTCTGTGTCTAGTATTTCCCTCAGTACTGTAAGCAAAAGTGGTATGTTTTTCTTTCCTTATGTCTACTCTGTCTTTTGTGGCCTTCTGGTCTACCTATCACTTTCTAACTGTTCATTTTTCCCTGACAATCAATAGTGGCTAGTGTTCTCGAGGTTTTTTATTTAATTAGCACAACTTTATTTCCATTGAGAGGTAGGTGAATATGGGGGAGAGGGAGCCTACTAATTAAAGCTAAAATTAACTTGACTTTTAAAAACAAAATTCATAATTCACCAACTTTTTAAAATATTTGAGCTCACTTGTATCCAAAACAAAGACTCACTATACTCCAAAGTGCTAAAACAAAAAGACATAAAACTAGAACCAGGTGATTAAGGGGTAGGGAAAGAAAAATAATTGATTTTCCAGAAAACCTTTGCTAAAAGAAGCAAAATTTGATTTCATGCTTCCTTCAAGCTGATGCAAAGGAAAGAAACTGATGGATTGAATAGGTTTTGTTATTCAGTAAACAAAATAGATCTTTCAGCAGGAAAGATGAACTTTCTCCTGGTCTAGAGCTTCTATGGGGATTTGTCCATAGGTTTTATATCTGGGACAATGACCACAAAATACATGATATCTTCAGAAAAAGTGCTCCTTAGAAAATGATTTACTCTATCATATGGCCATTCCACATTTCCACCTTAGATTAAAATAAGGACCAAATACTAACATCTAACTCTGTAGAGAAGATTCCTAATTGTGGAGCTATTTAATT